AAAGAAATATCCAAATTTTTTAGAATACGAGCCCCCGATTTTCGGGGTTTATTACTAGTTTACATTAAAGCGAAAATGTAATAACTAAAATGAAGCTGATTTTAAATATTTTTATATCTACAAAAACTTTCATTTCAATGATATAGGATTTTATCAAATATGGTACATGCATAACAAAGGGTTAATTTCTTTGTTTACATTTTTTGACATTACAGTCAGCTATGAGAGAGCTCGACTGATTTGTCACATCCAAAATGTATTCAACAAAGTGTGATAGCTTTTGACATTGCTCTCATAAGAAACAGGCTATAATGTCAAACTGAAATGAATTCTTAACCCATTTGAAAATTCTGTTTTTCAAATTTGAATTTGTTTAAAAAAAAGTTACACACAAAATTTTCAAGCAACAAATTTTCTTAATAAAGGTGAAATTGTTAAGAGATAAGCCGCCGAGGAGAGCAGGTAAGTACATTTAAAGTTGGGTAATAAATAAATACGTTCGACTTTTCTTAAATATTTAATGTAAGGAAACCAAGATGAAACAGAGCAAAACGTTTGAACGGTGCGCTGTATGCAATAAAAGTCAGGACACGAAAATAGTGCGATGTTTTAAACCACCTAGTTGCGAATTAAGACGGCAGCGATGGCAGCGAAATAATTAAAACCATGCAAGCAAGTATGGAAGAGCTTAATTTAAAACTGCTCGAAGCAAAGTCTTTAATGGAAAACTATTTCGCATGAAAAATATTTAATTTCAAACTTGTTAGAGTTAAGCTCACATATAAAATTGGAAACAAATGTAAAATCCTACTTTTATAAGTGTCGAATAATGTTTAGGATCAAAAATTTAAATATAAAAATAAACGCACAAAAGCATAAAACTTGGGCAATTAAAAACAAGAAAATTGCTTTTATTGTTTATAAAATCAATTTGTTTTATTTTGTTGACAAAATATATATACTTCAGGTAACGTAAGTAAAACAAAACTATAATCGAAATAAAACTAAGGGTTAATTCGTTTCTTTATACTTTTTGAAATAATAGTACCTTAAAAGAGAGCCGCACTGAATTGTCAATCACACCTTGTTTAATACACCTTGGTCACATCTACCCTGTTGAATATGCCTTGAGCAAAACTCTCTGGGAAGACCATAGGTTTGTTCGACGAAAAACCTGCGAGAATTATCACATAAAATATCAGATAGTACTGCTGCCAACTTAGTGTTATTCGCACTTTTTTTTAGTTTGAAGACACTGTGGCGTTCGAATAGTAAACTAGTATAATGTATGTAGCTCTAAAATATTTATGTTTAAATGTATATTTCTTACAAATCTGGTAACGCCATAACTTATGACATTTCGTTTTCACCTACACATATACTTGCTTGATAAGGACAAGAACTCTTTCTTTTTATTCGTGGACCTTCATCAAGCAACTTCGTGTAAGACATTGGAACTGCGATTTTAAATAAATATATTCGGTTTCCTGTGAACCCGAAAGAACCAAAAGCCATCCGACTCTTTATTTTGCGCTGTAGCGTGGATAGCTACATATATTCTGGTAAGGTATACCCCAGCAGGGCTGCCGCGGGTGTATCTCCCACACTGGTGGCCCCGACGGTCGAAAATTCGAGAAGTGGTCCGGTGCACGTACATACACATGCATACACGTATTGCACAGCCACTGGGAAACAAAAGTAAGGTTAGGTGTACATCACGTGACTGGCTAGATATACGTATCACCACCTCGTTTGTCGAGACCTGGATCTGCCTGCATCGCGGCGCCGAATAACTAAAACATCTTTGAGAGCAAAGCACGCACCACAAATTCGACGCTAGCATTTTTTTTTGTAGCCAATTTTGGCGAAACGTAAAATAAGATGTCCATGGAAGAGCAATCAACTGATAATGCTGATATGTCTGACAACGCAACAGTGGCGGAGAACAAATGCCTAACTGGCGAGCTACAGCATATTAGCATCAAACCACCAATATTCTGCAAGCAAAGGCCTGATTTTTACTTTCTACAAATGGAGTCCAGCTTCGCCATTTCTCGGGTGAAAAGCGACGAAACTAAATATCACTACGTCATTAGTTCCCTGGATGCAGAAGCAATAATGCAAATCGCCGACATTGTGAGCAATCCGCCAGCAACAGAAAAATATGAGGCGGTAAAAAAAGCGCTCATCGCCGAGTTTACAGATTCTGATCAACGTAAAATTCGGAAGCTAATCAAGGAGAGTGAGCTCGGTGATTTAAAACCAACGCAGTTGCTCAAACGCATGAAAGATTTAGCTAGAGACAAACTCAGCGATGACGTCCTGAAATCGCTGTGGCTGGAGCGGTTGCCTGACAATGTGCGCGCGGTAATCTCGATCGGAACGGGCGATTCGGCAGAAATGGCAAGGCAGGCCGACCAGATGATGGAGATGCTAAGCTTTTCAAATGTGGCGACAATACAAAGCGAAGTGGGTCTCAGCAAGCAGGTAGAACGGCTGCAATCACAAATAGACGAACTCCGACTATCAAGAACGTCGCGCGCCGGAAATAAGGACCCAACTGCTCGTAGCAGAAGCCGATCACGACCTCGTTTTCCTTTTTGCAAATACCACTGGCGCTTTGGTGCAAAAGCAAACAAATGTATCGAGCCATGCCAGTTCAAAAGACTAGACATGAAGGAAAACTAGGAGAAGCTCTGTCAGCAGAGACGACGCGCAGAGCTGTTACAACAAAAAGTCGTCGTCTATTTATTAACGACCGAACCACGAATTGCCGGTACCTCATTGACACGGGTGCGGATTTTTCAGTAGTTCCGCCGCTTCATAATGACAAACCAGATCTGAATCACAGACTTTACGCCGCCAACGGCACTCCGATCAAAACCTATGGCACAAAAACCATCCAAGTAAACTTCGGCTTAAGAAGACCAATGGACTGGATGTTTGTTGTCGCAGATGTGTCGAGACCAATTATAGGAGCAGACTTCCTTCACCAATACGGACTGCTCGTTGACTTACGCAAGAAAAAACTAATTGACATGACAACGAAGTTAGAGGTAAATGCAGTGGCATGCACATATCGATGCGAACAAATTCACACATTTGCACCAAACCTGCCGAGTAACATTACAAGTATTCTTGAAGATTATCGAGACTTGACACAACCTTTTAAAATGACAACTGCGTCCCTAAACACTAAAGTGAGGCATCACATCGTAACTTCAGGCCCCCCAATCTTCTCTAAAGCACGTCGGCTTAACCCGGAGAAGCATTGCATTGCGAAATCAGAATTTGACTACATGCTAAAGCAGAATATCTGCCGACCTAGCAGTAGTCAATGGGCAAGCCCGCTTCATATGGCACCAAAAAAAGAAATAGGGAAATGGCGTGCATGTGGTGATTACCGCCGACTCAATGCGGTTACGCGACCCGACCGGTATCCAATACCGCACATTCAAGACTTTTCACAGCAACTATGTGGCAAGTCGCTCTTCACCACAATTGACCTGGAGCGCGCGTACCACCAGGTACCAATCGCGGAAGAGGATCGGGAGAAGACCGCAATCATAACCCCGTTTGGTCTTTTTGAATTCAACGTCATGACGTTCGGTCTGCGCAACGCAAGCCAAACGTTCCAACGCTTCATGAACGACATTTTCAGAGACCTCGAATACGTCATCGTGTACATAGACGACATATGCATTGCGTCGACCTCACAAGCCGAACACGAGCACCACTTGCGCACAGTATTGCAACGCCTTCGCGACCATAATTTAAAAATTAACGCGGCGAAATGTGAGTTTGCGAAACCCGAAATTACTTTCCTTGGCTACAAAGTCACGAAAGATGGTATCGCTCCGCCAACGGAAAAGATTGATGCCATCGTGAATTTTAAAAAACCCACTCTCGCTTACGAATTGAGGCAATTCATCGCGATGATCAACTTTTATCGTCGCTCGCTCCCGAACGCAGCCGCGACGCAAGGAAAGTTACAAAAATTAATAAAAGGCAACAAAAAAAAGGATAAGTCAATTATCGAATGGGATAATGAGGCTAGTGAAGCATTCCAGCAGTGCAAGCGCGACTTAGCGAATGCTACATTGCTCGCACATCCGTCACAAAATGCCAAACTAATTCTCCATGTGGATGCTAGCAACTATTGTGTGGGCGCGGCCATCCAAGAACTAAGCAATAAAGTATTAAAACCGCTCGGATTTTTCTCTAAGCGGATGTCGGAAACACAAAAAAAGCAAAGTACGTACGATCGAGAATTGCTCGCTATTTATCAGGCTGTCAAGTACTTCCAGCACCTCATTGATGGTCGTGATTGCACAATCCTGACGGATCACAAACCACTAACGTTTGCGTTTCAGCAAAAGCCGGAAAAATCAACACCGAAGCAGACAAGATACTTAAGCTACATCAGTGAGTTTACCACGGACATTCGACACATCTCAGGAAAAAATAACATCGTGGCAGACCTTCTTTCCCAAGTCGAAACGATTTTCAACGGCGAGCAGATAGATTTCAAAAAATTAGCCAATGAGCAAAGAGGCGACCCAGAACTCGAGCAGCTAATGACCGATAGTTCACTTCAATTAAAAGCAATCCAGATTCCGGGCACCAACTTAACTATAATGTGCGATGTATCGACGAAGCATGTGCGGCCGTACGTTTCGGAAAGATTCCGCAAGCAGGCGTTTGAGTCGATACACAATGTAGGTCACCCAGGCAAAAGATCGACAATAAAGCTCATGACGGAACGATTTGTTTGGCCACACATGAAACAACAAGTCAGCAAGATGGTATCGTCATGAGTGCCGTGCCAAAAGACAAAAGTCTGGAGGCACAACCGCACGGCGCTTGAGAATTTTCGGGTACCCAGCCAACGATTCCGCCATATTAACATCGACATTATTGGACCATTACCTCTTTCAGAAGGCTTCAAATACTGTCTAACTTGCATCGACCGTTTTTCTCGATGGCCTGCGGCAATCCCGATGCAAGACATCACAGCCGAAACAGTGGCCAAAGCGTTTTTACACGGCTGGATAGCGCACTTCGGTGTACCAGATGCCATCACAACTGATCAAGGCAAACAGTTTGAGTCAAAATTGTTCAATGAGTTGTCGAACCTAATTGGTGCTAAACACTTAAGATCAACAGCGTACCACCCGCAAGCAAATGGCCTGGTCGAGCGCATGCACCGTACGCTGAAAACGGCCGTGAAGTGTCACACCAACAGCAACTGGGTCGACAGCATTCCCATCGCTTTGCTCGGGCTTCGAACAGCATTCAAAGAAGACCTAAATGCCACACCAGCGGAAATGGTATACGGCGAAAACCTTAAGTTGCCCGGAGAATTCTTCGATAGCAAACCCGAGTACACGGAAAGCGATTTTCTAGAAAAATTAAAGAGTACGATAGCCAAATTGAAACCCGTATCAACAACGAGCCACGCCAAGAACAAAGTTTTCGTGCAAAAAGACATAAACAACTGCACTCACGTCTTTGTAAGGGATGATTCAGTCAAACCGCCACTGAAACAACAATATGATGGTCCATTTGAGGTAGCGAAACGGTTTGGCAAATACTTCGACGTTGTAATAGGCAACAAGGTAACGAGAGTCAGCATCGACAGGCTAAAAGCTGCGCATGTAGCCGAAGAGGATTCATGTCATACCCCGATGAGGCGACCAACCGAAATACCAACGAAACGGAGTATACTGAAACCCACATCACATCTACCTACCAACCGCCAGGAAGAAACTTCAACGCGAGTTGGACGAAAAGTCAACTTCCCCAAACACTTCGCTGACTTCATCTAACGACGAATCTGAAGGGGGAGTAGATGTGGCGTTCGAATAGGAAACTAGTATAATGTATGTAGCTCTAAAATATTTATGTTTAAATGTATATTTCTTACAAATCTGGTAACGCCATAACTTATGACATTTCGTTTTCACCTACACATATACTTGCTTGATAAGGACAAGAACTCTTTCTTTTTATTCGTGGACCTTCATCAAGCAACTTCGTGTAAGACATTGGAACTGCGGTTTTAAATAAATATATTCGGTTTCCTGTGAACCCGAAAGAACCAAAAGCCATCCGACTCTTTATTTTGCGCTGTAGCGTGGATAGCTACATATATTCTGGTAAGGTATACCCCAGCAGGGCTGCCGCGGGTGTATCTCCCACAACACCAAAGCTGTAAATCTGAAACAAAAAGGGAAGTTAAATTTAGAGCAGTTGGAAGTTTCATAAGGAACTTTTTCAAAAATGGAAATAAAATCATGGCACAATAACAATCATAAGCGAGAGAGCATATGTTTGTCAAAAAATATGTGGCACCACTTTCAATCATGCCAGAATTACATATGGTAATTTGCCACTACCCGCAAAAACGTCCATGTTGCTGGGACCAAGAATCGATCTTTAGACCTGTAGTTTGGGCTGAATTTGTTATATTTTTTACGAGGATTAAAAAAAGCAGTAAATGAATAACGAACATTTTTAAAAAGGAATAATCGAGGCGGGGGAAAATATGTAGACACGGCTAAGAATCTCGGCGTCATATTTAACCACACATTCACGTGGAAAGACCATATTTTTTACGCTGTAGGAAAAGAGTACGGAATGCTTCGTACACACTAAGTATCGGACTCTTGTGTCCGAGCATCAGTTCTTTATTAACTCTATACGTCTTTGGAACTTTCATCCTATTAGATTAAGACTTATAAAAAATGCACTGCTTTTCAAAAAAGAGTTAACCAACTACTTTAATAACAGTGAATATATTTAACCTTTTGTTTCTTTTCTTTCTCTTCTTCTTTTTCATTGCTCTCATACAAAAAGATTTGTTATAATAGATTTGTTGCAATATGAAATTATCATTAACATTATAATAATAGAAATATTAACAAAAACCAACAACCACATGATCAAGCTTAAATAGCACTGCATTAGCTGCGAGTGATTGTAGTTTGCTTAACCAATGAAATAGTGGAAAAAAGCAGTAAGAATTCACAAGGCGAACTTATCACAGTGCGTAGGCAACTGGCTGAGTCAGTGGGATCGTCGGTTCGAATCCTACTGAAAGAAGTCGGATGAGGAAATGTGGTGATTTCCGAAATAACTATCACTTCTACCATTTTGTCAAATTATTGTTGCTTTTCCATAATAAGTCTTTCATTAATAAAATTTTTTGAATTAATACAAAACTTTAAAATTTTCCATTTTTTATACCTATTTTATATCTATTAATCCAATGTTATCTCAATATGACTAACACTATAAAACAATTTCTTTAATTGTTGTCTTAGGATGAATCGATAAATAAATAAACTTAAACTAACCTCAAAAACAAGTAAGAAAGTCTAAGTTCGGGCGGAGCCGAACATTAAATACCCGGCGCGAGTATTAAATATATGCTTTCACCTTTCCGAGAGCTACCGCTACAGAATAAACCGGGGTGTATCAATTTTGAGTAATGTAGCGTCCTTAAATTTCTAAATATTGAAGTTTCAAGCATTTCTGAAATTTACTGTTATATCAAAAGCGGCCGTAATTTTAGTTCCATTTCAATAATTTTCAAAGTTGTGCTTCTATGTGGCAAGCACAATAACCATACCGAGTTTGGTACAAATTGGTAGAACGGTTACCGAGATACATATGTGTGATCATAAGTGGGCGGTGCCACGCCCATTTTCCAAAATTTTATCCTAAACGTATTTCTGGTCAAGAATTGTTGGAAGCATCAATTTTTAATAAAGTAGCTTTAATAATTACTGATTTATCGAAGATTTCGTATTACTCTAAATTACCGTTATACGGGATGTAGGCGTGGTTATTGTCCGATTTTAAAAATCTTCGTCCATTTCGTAGGTTATACCAAGGTTAACAACTGTGCCAAGTTTGGAAGAAATTGGTGCAGCGGTTACCAAGATATACACATGTAACCATAAGTGGGCGTGCTGCGCCTATTTTGCAAAAATTTATAATATTCTTATTTTTCGTCTAAAACTTATGGTAACTATCGATTTTGAGTGAACAATCTTCAGTAGTTTCTATAATATCGCAGTTTTCGTTTTTCTGAAAATTACCGTTATATGGGAGGTACGTTTAGGATAAAATTTTGGAAAATGGGCGTGGCACCGCCCACTTATGATCACACATATGTATCTCTGTAACCGTTCTACCAATTTGTACCAAACTCGGTATGGTTATTGTGCTTGCCACATAGAAGCAAAACGTTGAAAATTATTGAAATCGAACTAAAATTACGGCCGCTTTTGATATAACAGTAAATTTAAGAAATGCTTGAAACTTCAATATTTCGAAATTTAAGGACGCTAATTTACTCAAAATTGATACACCCCGGTTTATCATGTAGCGGTAGCTCTCGGAAAGGTGAAAAACATATATTTAATACTTGCGCCGGGTATTTAATGTTCGGCTCCGCCCGAACTTAGACTTTCTTACTTGTTTTTGAGGTTAGTTTAAGTTTATTTATTTATGGATTCATCCTAAGACAACAATTAAAGAAATTGTTTTATAGTGTTAGTCATATTGAGATAACATTGGATTAATAGAAAATAACATTGGGTTAATAGAAAATATTTGAATTTTTAGAAAACAGAATAAATTCGACCGCCGAGCAAGAAACATTACGTGCCCTTATTTCTGGCGTAGGACGGATGGTATTAAAAATGGGAAACATCTGAAAATAACCACGCCTACCTCCCATATAACGGTAATTTTCAGAAATACGAAAACTGCGATATTTTAGAAACTACTGAAGATTGTTCACTCAAAATCGATATTTACAATAAGTTTTAGACGAAAAATAAGAATATTATAAATTTTTGGAAAACGGGCGCAGCCACGCCCACTTATGGTTACATGAGTATATCTTGGTAACCGCTGCACCAATTTCTTCCAAGCTTGGCACAGTTGTTAACCTTGGTATATCCTACGAAATGGATGAAGAATTCTAAAATCGGACAATAACCACGCCTACATCCCGTATAACGGTAATTTAGAGTAATACGAAATCTTCGATAAATCAGTAATTATTAAATTGATGCTTCCAACAATTCTTGACCAGAAATACGTTTAGGATAAAATTTTGGAAAATGGGCGTGGCACCGCCCACTTATGATCACACATATGTATCTCTGTAACCGTTCTACCAATTTGTACCAAACTCGGTATGGTTATTGTGCTTGCCACATAGAAGCAAAACGTTGAAAATTATTGAAATCGAACTAAAATTACGGCCGCTTTTGATATAACAGTAAATTTCAGAAATGCTTGAAACTTCAATATTTCGAAATTTAAGGACGCTAATTTACTCAAAATTTATACACCCCGGTTTATCATGTAGCGGTAGCTCTCGGAAAGGTGAAAAACATATATTTAATACTTGCGCCGGGTATTTAATGTTCGGCTCCGCCAGAACTTAGACTTTCTTACTTGTTTTTGAGGTTAGTTTAAGTTTATTTATTTATCGATTCATCCTAAGACAACAAGTAAAGAAATTATTTTATAGTGTTAGTCATATTGAGATAACATTGGATTAATAGAAAATAACATTGGATTAATAGAAAATATTTGAATTTTTAAAAAACAGAATAAATTCGACCGCCGAGCAAGAAACATTAATATTTAGAAACAGTCGGTTTACCTAAATCGATTCTGGTTGCGATTGCATTCGGATTACGAATACAGTTTTTCTCAGCCGAGTACCTTTAAAATCATTGGAATTAACTAAATTAATTAAGTAAACAAGTATTTACTTACATTTTCCATTTTAAAATCGCTCGAGTTTATAAATTTTAAAATTTTACGAACTTGTTTATTCAAATTACACCGGCACACAAAAAAAATTAGTGTGATGTGCATTTGACCGGACCTATCTACATATGGTTATGCATTTCGACCCGCAGAATCCGAATTTGAAGTCAGTTTGGCCAATATATGTATCTCCTAGATTTCGAGAAGACTTCAAAAAACCTATTCTTATTGCCGATTTTCGCTATTTTTTACGGTTTTTTGAAGTTTTCTCGAAATCTAGGAGATATATTGGCAAAACTGACTTCAAATTCGGATTCTGCGGGTCGAAATAGATAACCATAGGTAGGTCCGGTCAAATGCACATCTCACTAATTTTTTTTGTGTGCCGGTGTTATCATCGACAAAAAATCCAACTATGTGCCACAATCATATGTTTTTCCTAATTGCAAATTCTTGCTGGCAAAATTTTTTCCAGCTTGAATTTGCAACTTCTCTCCAAAAACTAGTCTTTCCACTTGTGATTTATTTAAATAAAACATAATAAAATTTTGTTGAAACAGTTTAGCTGTGCTTAGCCGGTTTTTTGCCAATTTAGCCGGTTAGTCCAAAAAGCTTTGGCAACACTGCGCAGATCCCATAATATAGTAGAACGTGTCAGCTGACACGTTCTCCGTTTTTACGTCCGTGTAACTGCGGTTTTAATCTTCACATTTGATAACTCACCGGCTACTTCGCTTAATATCTCCATAAATCATTCCAATCCAGGGCATTCATGGAGTCGCTGAGTTTTTTGACAATACTCTCTTCGTAACTCCTACGCTTCTCTTCCAGCAACTTCATCCGTTTTTACGTTAGCATATGTTCGCTCTGTGGTTCTTGATCATCACTTCGGGTTGAGACAAACTTGAAGCATACTAGGAAGAAGCAAAACCGATAGAATACAAGATTGCGCTGATTGATGTGAAATTCGGGAGAGTAACGTGAATATGACGTCATCGCAGATTTGGCGGTGGAGAGAGCTGAGAGAGAT